TAGTATGCAACAAAATATAAAAATAACAAATCCTAAACAAATTTCTACTGTTTGATGGAGAATAACTATGAATTATTAAACAGCATCCTAAACAAACTTATTTCATTAAAGTTGGCAGTAATTAATTTGTCATATCAGATATTCTAAACATTTATTTATATTACTTAACTTCTTAAAGGTCCTAAGTTTCAATTCAAGTGTTATTATAGTCTACAAATATGATATTAAAGTGTTCTAAGTAAGAATTTTTTAACCTGATTCCCTTGCCCTCTGCTTAAATGTAGAGATTTCCCAGAGTTTTTCACTAGTTTTCTCTTCCCCCTTTAGAAGTTCTCTCTCAGTGACTATTCATTCCCATGACATTAATTATCTATCAATCCGTGTAATCTTGAGCCTACATCTTTCTCCTAAGCTGTAGATCTACACTGTCTAATATGGTAGCCACCAGTAGTTACGGTGAATTTCCAAACTCTTGTCATACACAATGATAGCATCAGTGGAATGGATGGATAATCTTTCAAATGATTTAAAATATTTAAATACATTCTTTTGGATATATTAACTGTTGTACGTCCAAACTCTTGTCATACACAATGATAGCATCAGTGGAATGGATGGATAATCTTTCAAATGAACTATTTTTAAATACATTCTTTTGGATATATTAACTGTTGTACATTTATTAAAAATCAGTCTCATTACTTCATAGTTACACCTCAGATCTTACTTGAATTTATATAAATCTGAGGAACATAAGTCTAAAGGCTTACCATTTTTACTATATCAGAATACGCTGATTCAACAATTACACCACGATTAGTTGAAACATACTCAACCAGTTCATTCAGTGTTGCTCTTTTTATTTCTTTGCTCTTCAAGTCTGAAACAGAGTCCATGAAATCAAACAGTATACAACACTGCTGCAGCTTCTGACAGAAGAGTTCTTGTTGTTCATTTGAAGTGGCATCTATAAATAAAAATAAAGAAAAACTTAGAAACAACCTACTCAGAAGTTACCTTAATATATTTATCAATTTTGTAGAAGCTATTCACATACATAAAATAAAACTCTCAGAAATCTGGTGAGATATTTACTCATCTAGCCCTATCATTCAGGGATTATACTGGACTATTCTCTCTCATTACCCACAATCAATCATTAAGTGTTATTGATTCTGTTTCTTTAAAATATCTGGAATCTATCTTTTTCTTGTCATTCCTACTGCCATTTTGGACCCTCATCTAGACTATAGCAATGATATCCTAATTGCTCCTCTTGCCTGGTCCCATAAACACTACCACTCCTGATTTACCCTCCAGACTACTTCAAAAGCTAAAATCCTGCTAAAATGAGAATCGGTATGATCATAGTCCATACTTTTCAATGATTCTCCAATAATTAGAGAATGAAGTTCAAACTGCTCGACGGTGTACAAAGTGTAGCTGTCCACTGTCAAGAGCCATCTCTCAACACTTTCCAGCATGCCTCTTCACTGTGGTTAAACCATATTCCCTGGAGGTCTCTGAAAACTATTCATGCTTCCTCTGCCTCTTTTCTCCCCACCCCCACGCAGGGAACTCTACACATTTACTAAGTTTTAGTGTAAGTCCCTTCTCAGAAGCTTTCCTTATGGCACAGAAGCTAAATTGGTTGGTTAATCCGCTTTTATCCAAATGTATCTTATGTGTATATCTCTATTATAGTATTATTGCATAATATGACAATAATATTTTACATATCAACACCTCTAGACTATGAGTCCCCTAAAAACAGGAACCAGGTGTTGTTTATGTAGTTATCTATATTTAACTGCCTTTCTCCCTCTCTCTATTATCTAGCATAATGCCTGGCACATAATAGACACTCAATAAATGTTTCCTGTTTTACCTTCTACTTATTACAAAAACACAGTATGGGTGCATTATATTGATTTGATTCTAACAAGCATATTAAATCTTTTCGATTCCCAAATTCAAAAAAACCCCAAAATTTCAATTCCAAACTTTCAAATCTATAAAAAAAGGACCTTCAATTAGCTCAATTAGTTAAGCTTCTTGAATTATCAAGATTAAATTTTTTAAATCACTTATTTCAACACTGATATTTAGCTCATAATATACAAAACTATCCCTCCATTCAAAACTAATACCTACTTTATATAAACATAAAAGTAGAAATCTTCATAAAGGTAACAGCCTAAGCAAGCATGTCTATGGTTCTTAATTTCTCTGGGGCAGGAGGCTAGTAAAATTACTTTGCAAATATGGTTACAGCATGGTATTGTAACACCATGGTCAAGGGTTCAGATCCCCATACTGGCCAGCCACCCAGAAAAAAAAAAAATACTTTGCAAATTCAAGCTGCTATTTCTTTTTTTTTTCTTTTGTCTTTTTCCGTGTCTGGCAACAGATCGCAACCCTCAGTGTTGCCCCCGTACCGGACCGGGGACCAGCAACGGGATCGCAACCCTCGGTGTTGCTCCCGGGCCTCGCTCAGCCAGTGAGCGGGAACCGGTCTGTATGTGGGATCCGAACCCTCGG